GTGCTCTGATGGAGCCTGTGGGAATGCGGCCTGGGTGCTCTGATGGAGCCTGTGGGAGTGTGGCCTGGGTGCTCTGATGGAGCCTGTGGGGGTGTGGCCTGGGTGCTCTGATGGAGCCTGTGGGGGTGTGGCCTGGGTGCTCTGATGGAGCCTGTGGGGGTGTGGCCTGAGTGCTATAGACCCAAACATCACAACAAGATTCCTTGTGGTGGATCTGTGAGCAAAGACAGGAATTTCATGAGCGTATTCAGAAGCCTGCCAAGGTAAAAGGTCCCATCAGACACTGAAGGACAAGCAGACAGCAGCATGGCAGCTAGGAGACCAAAGACCAAGTCCACCCCCATTTTCGAGGCACCATGTGAGCCTAATGCCCTAGAATTATGGGGCGGGTGAGTAATTAAAGTTTCCTCTGTCTTAGGTTCACGCTAAGCCATGAGTCTTATACCAGGAGCCGTTTCTACAGACAGACCACTTAGTTTCTATTCTGCCCCCCCCCCCAACTTTGCCCATGTCCCTCCTCTTCTTCCTCTTTGTTCTTCCAAGAATATGACATTATATACCATAAATCAGTTGTGTCATCGTGAGCACGGCGTGACAAGGTGGCTTTCTTGCCTGTGTGACACAGGGGGTGGGGTTGAATTTCTGCCCCAGCTCTACTACCCCAAGGTTTGATATCATCACCCACAGAACAGGATTGCCAATGCAATGACCTGAAGGCTTTTTTTTTTTTTTGGAATATTGGTCATACTCCCAGCAGAAGAAATGAAAACTGAGAAGGTTTATCTGCATCAGCAAGTACATAATTTCTTATAATTTATGGTCAGTTGTTTCCTTAAATGCCTATCAGTGAAAATACAGTCAGCAGCAAGGCTGGGGCCAGATCTTCCTGCATTGGGACCACATGACTTCTCTTGGAGACAAAGCATGTGAAATTGATATTCAGATCTCCTTGCTTGAGGCTGAAGGAAGGGAAGGCCACAACCTAAAGACGCTTCATGCTAAGTGAATAGAGAGACTCCTCCCTGCTAACACACAAGGGTTAGTCTCCACAGGCCGCTTCCAGTCAGGAGTGCACAAGGCTTCATGGGCTAACAGCCAGCTTCTCTCAGGGACTTTGGGAAAGGGAGCTATGTGAGAACACACTATTGAATGTAACATTCTATTACTCACGCAGATATATTGAAGGAGGCTATTGAGAAGGAAGAAACTATGGTTTTCCAACCGGGGAAATCAATTGCCAGCCAAGACATCTGCTGTTATGCAGCCATCCAAAAGAGATCACTTCTGGTGTCTTCTGAGGTCCAGGTAAATCAGCCAATAGAGAGGAGCTACATCACAGGGAATGTTCTGATGGTCAGGACCCTTAGAACAAGGTCTTAACTTGTTTGATAAATAATATATTTCCAACAAAGTCTTTAAAAACATGGATTAGGATTGCTTGTTAAATAACATTCTGGAATGGTTAATACCAAGGATGCAAATGACAACAAATGCTAGTGAGGATGTAGGGAAAGAGGAGCCTTATTCACTGCCAATGGGAAATTAGTTCAGAGGTTTCTCAGGAACCAGAAATAGGACCACAATTGTCCAGGTGTACCACTTCTCGGTGTGCACCTGAAGGACTCCAAGCCAGCACACTAGAGAGACTTGCATGCCTCTGTTTCTTACTGCAACACTAAGTAGCTAAGAAACAGAACCAGTAAGATGGACGGATAAGGAAAATGTCGCACATGTATACAATAGGATTTTATTTAACTATAAAAATAAAATCATAACATGTACAGGGAAAATGGATGCAACTGTAAATTTTTATAATTTTTATTTTTATTTTATGTGCATTGGTGTTTTGCCTGCATGTGTTCCAGATCTTGGACTTACAGACAGTTGTGAGCTGCCATGTGGGTGCTGGGAATTAAACCTGGGTCCTCCAGAAGAGCAGTTAGTGCTCTTAACCACTGACCCATCTCTCCAGCCCTGCAACTGTAAATTTGTATGTTAAGTGAAGTCCCACAGACTCAGAAAGACAAATAACAATGTTTTCTCTCAAATGTAGATCCTAGATAGGAAGTAAATAGGAAGAGCATTGTAAGCAACTTCTAAAAATCTAGAATGGCAGAAACAGCTGGCTATGTGGTGGACAGTAATCCAAAGTTCCTCTGTAACATTGGGGCATCCATCTTCAGCCTACAGGCCTAGAGTTTTTTAGTTACTTCTCTGTGTGTCCTGTAGAATATCTGGCAGTCTCCTTGCAAAGTTCAGTGGTCACCTTCCTATGGGTCCTGCATGTTGATACAACATTTTGTCAAGCAGTCCAGGCAAGAATAGTTTCTTGCCCAAATGGCTTTTTTTTTGGGGGGGGGGTGTTTCAAGACAGGGTTTCTCTGTGTAGCTTTGGTGCATATCCTGGTTCTCACTCTGTAGACCAGGCCGGCCT